CCCCCTCCCCTTAATAGGAAAAGACACCTGTCCGTCAGAAACGGTGTGCCGTCGTATGATGGATTACACATGCCCGGCCTGGAGGTCAGCTGCAAGTGTTGCAATCCAAGTGTCTTCGCATTGCTACTAATGCGCCCTGGTACGTTAGAACAGGCAAATACACTAAAATTTGGGGGATCCCGCTCTTTGCCGACCACATCAGGGCACTGACTGAGAGCTTCGACTCGAAATTAGCTGGTGCGGGGAACCCCTTAGTCCGGCAACTCGGGAGGCACTTGTACTGACAGCTACAGTCGCCTTCAGCCACCAATCATCGCTTAATTTTATATTTCATTTCCGGCGTAGCACGTGTAGCTAAAACCTTCGCAAAAAAGCAACCCACATTACTGACGAGTGTGCATTGGCATCGTTGAAATTCACTGCCACCTCATCAATGAATAGTAATTGTTTCGCTGTAATTTTACTATTACGCCCCTATCTTTATAGACGCTCAACGCGTATATAGATTTGAAAGATGCCCCAAATCTAATTTGCCTCCGCCAAAGGCTGCTTTGATCACAGCATCAAACGCTATCTGCAATCAACAAATCGCCAGTAAACAGGACCTCTTTTCTCAACGCCCTGCAGTCGCCAGTAACGCACTTTCTAAAAACGAAATGAGAAAAATCCCTCTGTTCGCAATTCTGTTTTCTTGCTAGGACTCCTGTAAAACATCTGACAAGGCTGAAAGCAATGCGTATATTTTCCAAGTGTCATTTTTATCCTCTTCGCCTTGTAAAACAAATGCAATGTCACCGTCTAACGTATTGTCAGAAATTTCCCTGTATCGCAAACTATATTATTTTTTTTAATTATAGCACTTCCAAAATTCCCCTCTTTACACAGCCCTATAAAAAATATCCCTCCATCTCCACATTAATTCCTCTTTCAAGTTCCTTCACAAAGCTACCAACTTCTATTTAGATTTCTCTGGTCAACTCCACCCAAATTTTTCCCACAATCCCTCATTCCAAAATCGTCATACAGAAATGATTAAAGATAATTTAACGACGGAATATTAATACAGAGACACTTCAATAACACTGGGCTCCTGCATCAGCACTTTAAATAATATTATCAGATTTGCACATATTCTTGTAAATTATGTCACGAGGTTCTTTAAACAAGTAAGTATATATTGTTGCTGCATGCGAGAGTAAATATAACAAAAGCCAAATGCAATTTAATATAAAATGGCTTCAGTGGGCCATTATCTAAGTAATCATCAATTTCAATCAGTGTAGCCTATAAACAAGGCTGAAGACCATTTCGCTGCCCGAGTCGATTATTCCATTACAGCCGGCAACAGGGATTCGCAATTAAATAAATTCAAATATTGTGTTAACTTAGTCAGGAACCACCACACATTAAATGGTTCCGCGTATATTATTCGTCTTAGTCATGAACCACCACGCATTAAATGGTTCCGCGTATATTATTCGAATTTTAAGCCGATGTCTTGACGAATATCATTCGGTTCTAAGGCTTTGTTTTCTTCTGATGTACTAATAATTAAAGGGGACTAAGACATGCAGTTCTTGTGGAACAGCTTATGTTTGACGGCGATGTTGCCCTGAAGACAAAGGCAGCAAGGACCTCTGAAACGACTACACGGCGCTACAATCCAGAAGACAGCCATATTCACAGTTATAATTGCTAAGTGGATCCTTTGTAAACATCACGAACCACCGCAGTAGGTGAACCAGACTGGACTGTCTGCTCAGAATGCATAACGTTAAACTGCCACTCGAAATACACTGACACTAACAGAAAGTACTACGACGAACGCTGCAGAGTACACAAAAGCTCCAAATGTGTCTTTTTACTCATATTCGATGGAAATGATATCAAACAGTTCACGTGGCCATTGACAGATGGCAGCACGGGCGATGGCGGCATTGTCTTCGCTGTGGATCGTGGGTAAAGACAACATAGCAGAAAATCGTTCTTCCACCTCGTGACTTTGCGCATTCGTCCCGTTGCTTTTATCCCCCCCCCCCGGGGTCCGACCATTCTCGAACTACAAAACGCTTAAAGACGATGACGTCATCGCTCGTTTAAAATGTATCGTGAGAATATTTACATCGACTGCCCCACACGCAATTTTTAAGTGCTCTTACGGGGCCCCAGTGAAAAAGTAGTTTCTATGTTAATATTTCGCCGTTACATTACTATATTTTAAATATTTTATCATTTTGCAGAGGTATTAGAAATGTTATCCAGGCCAGCAGATGGGAATCCATGGCACAATGGAGGATAGTAATGGAGTATTTCAAGAGGCTTTTAGGTAGATGACCTAACAATGGCATCGCCTAAAATAATCTTCTTCCCACATCATCACTTTGAGCATCCGTCATGTTGCCATTACCGAAATCACAAGCTAAGATGTCATCAGTCGTAGCAAAGTGTTATGGGTAATGACGTCATGGTGGAAAATCCTCCTCCCAACTCAGGTCTCTGATTATTTGTCACAGCGTTTTCTTTCCTGTTTTTCGCCTAGTAAAACAATACGTGTTCGGACTACCATTTAAAAACAAAACTGCTTTATGCAAATTCGTTCGGGTGTTTTCTGGGATGGCAGAACGTGTAGTTCATACGATTACCGACAAGTGGCAGCACGATCTCTTCGACTGAAAGACACGACACAGACGTACAGAACAAGAACACGAGGTATTCGTCGCTTTAGCCAAAGCGCAAAGAATACCCAAACGTTTCCAAAGCACAACATTCACGACCAAGGCAGTGTAAATAAACGTTCTAGCGCAGCGTTTCTCAACCTATGTTACGCGTACCACTGGTGGTACGCGAACTAAGTAAGAGCATCAAAAGATAATATTAACATAAATAAGTTTTTCCCTAAACGCATTTCGGTAGTGGTACATTTAATGTGTTAAATTTAGAATTAGTGGTACGCCAGCGAAAAAGCTTGAGACACCTGCTGTAGATACTCGCGGCCGGCTGAGTAGAATCCAGTCGTCTCTCAACCACGTGAAAGAGAACTCCCTTAAAACGGAGACCGATAAAAAGTTCGTGTTGGTAAAGCTTACATACTAGTGTGCAAATGATGAAGATATTAGGCGTTCTTTTCATATCGTTATTTCGCGGTGCGTGCTTCAGAATTAGAGCTAAATTTGCTAAACATAGATGCCATGATTCCCTTCTAAGTAAACTGTGTAATCAGACAGCTACCAACAACACAAGTTCTAATCCAAAAAAAATCCTCACTGATGCAGATATAATCAAACGTAACACATACGGCATCTTGGCGTCCCTCGTTCGTGAAGCGTTAATTAATCCATAAAGTTGAATACCTGTGCCATCTGGTTCCTTGCCATCGCGTCTTCGCTTCCGTTATCCGGTTGGACCCTTGGGTGCGCCAGTTCAGCAGATGTCCTTTAATCGCCTCAGCTCTTGATGATGTGCGAACACCCGCCCTTTCGAAGCACTGTCAGATAGATCACGCCCATCTCACAGGAAGTTTTTCACCACGTACACATTCACACACAGCCATTTCGGACCTATGATTCATGCGTGACGCATCACTGCCTTCAACGTAACTTCACGCGGATGAATTCAAACTGCAAAAATCGCGCTCTGTTATGTTTTCTGATTCATAAACGAAGGCAAACGTCGATCTCGGAGAACAACGAAGTACAATCTGAACATTCTACGTCACTGTTACAGAAGCCCCAAATCAGACACAGACTTTAGCCAGCTAAATCCACTTCACATCCTCACAACATACGAGGGCTACTTCAAAAGTCATGGCAACTAATTTTTGGGGGGCAAACACGTTATATTGAAGAAAGTTCAAAATATACATATGAAAGGGCACGATATACTCCTCCGATTAGCGTAGTAAGATCAGGTAGGTGTGAATGGGTGTAGGTGTAGTACGGAATGACCTCTTTTTTTGCATTCTTTAATCCTCGAAAAATTCAATTGTGATTTAAAAAAATAAAAAATTTAATGTGAGTTAAATCAGAATTCTTACATTAAGACTAGCAACCTTCAAAGTACTCGCTGCCAACGACGAGGAAGACGGCGAATACCAACAGCTTCACCATCTACAAATCTTGCCATCTCGCGCCGAACTGCGTTAAAATGTCCCCTCGTGTACGAAAGCGTTTCCCTTGCAATGGCTGTTTTATTTTAGGTATTAAGTCATAGTCACATGGCGAAAATAATTAAGTCATAGTCACATGGCAAAAGGTCGGGTGAATATTGAGGATGGTGTAGTACTTCCCATCTCCAACGTCGTAAAAGTTTCTTGACACTGTTTGAACCCATTCACACCTACCTGATCTGACTACGCTAATCGGAGGAGTATATCGTGCCCTTTCATATGTATATTTTGAACTTTCTTCAATATAACGTGTTTGCCCCCCAAAAATTAGTTGCCATGACTTTCGAAGTAAACCTCGTATTTCCTTAACAAAGCTCTGGAATTTGCGATGTTGCAGTTTATAGATTTACGTTAAGAAAACTGTCAACATCGCAAATATCACAGCCCGCGATTAGACACGATCCCGAACCAGTTTAAACCCGAGTCCCCATGGTAAGAAACTGGCCAAGAAGGTATTGTAATAAAAGTAAATATGTCCGCTAAACGCCATGTAGGCGCTTTGGGTGGGGGTTTCAGTCAACACATGTGAAATATCGGAATGACGGGACAGTCACCCTTCTTCAAAAACTGCTTGCCGCTCAGATGGTCAAATAAAATTATGGAACTCGAAGGTTCATTATCGTGTTCACAAGCGATCGCGGCTGGTACCTACTACAAGCTAGATGAATCCAACCTACATATTAAGACCATACTTCTTTAAAACTGCTTTAAAATCATCCCAGAATTTAAGAGAAAGCCATTTTCATACAAAATAGCGAAATTTTATTTTGTTAAGTCATAGGGAAAATATACTTTTTTAAATTGGCAAGCATTCTTCAACTGTAGTAACGGGTTCTTGAAAATGTCTCTTTGACCACGCCCTCTCTATTCTGGTTCTATTTTCTGAAACAATCTCCACTCATCAGAAACTTCTCCGCAGTAAAGCAAATATTCTGCAAGACAATGCCGCTCACACTCGGTACTCTGTAATTATATCTGAATTTTTGTTAACCTATATCTTCCTTACAGTTGCCAGTAAAATAGAATCGCATCAAGAAAAAAAGTAAAGCTGTCCCGCTACACGCCATACAGACGCTTAGGGGGAGAGACGATACAGCTCCTGCTCATTCTTAACCTCGGCACTAGATGGGGGTGAGTGGTCGGCGTCACGATCCGGCCGCAGGGGCTGGGTGGGCCCGAAAGCCGGTCTGGACGCAGATGCAAGAGGAAAAATCATCTGCCCCCGTCGGGGATCAAACCCCGGTCGTCCAGTCCATAGTCAGTCAGTTTTCGGAGCTCAGCCGGTTCCTGCATCAGCACTAAGGAGATTAAATTATCACTGAAGTTACGCTGGTAAGACGCATTCCATTCACGAATGGAAGTTACTCGCCGTAATGTTAGAAGGGCCTTCCTACTATTCGCGAGGAAGTCTCGTCAGTGATCGATCACAGATGCTAACGCCGTCATCTCGATACGTTTCCGCGTCTGAATATACACGTGGCGCGTTCTATATAGATCGATACTTTCAGTGTTTGGGGCCAAATCTTTGGATGTTTGTGAAATGTGGAAGGGGTGGGAAAGGAATGCGGGACAAAAGAGGAAAAGATATGAAAGGGAGAAAATAAATTAGGGGGAAAAAGTGAAGAATTAAGACACAAAAATAATTATCCGTCGAATTTCAACGTGCTCTTTCCACAAATGTATTTTTTATAAGGTGGTCAGTTCTTATGTAAATTAGAAATTGCGACCAGAATGCTCGCTAATATCACCAACAGAATTCTAGGGTTGGTAAAAGCGTTGCGTGAGATCAGAATGATTTGTGGCATGCTTCGTACCTCATTTATATGCATCTTATTTAAAGACGCTGCCAAACAGCTGAGATTACACAGCACTGAACGACGGGATGATTATCGAATGACGGGAAAGAACGCGAAAGGAAGCGGCAGTGTCCTTGCTTAAAATACATCCCGGAATTAGCCTGGATGACTGAGAAAAACCACGAACAGCCACTGAGTATAGCCGGTCTCCGGGTCGAGATCTGAACGCGAGACGTAAGACGCAGGGTGGAAAACCGTTCGACCGAAACGTCCAATGCATTTATTAACACTCTAATTCCGATTCAGGCATGCCAGGCCATTTTACTGCACGAGGCCGTCACAAATGTTTTTAACGCATTTACACAATACAACGAGGCATTAACTCGCTTAAACGATGGTGTTCCCAAGTACGAAAATTGCACAGTATTCAATACCTGCTCTCCGTTAATGAGGACGCCATGTAGTAAGTAGGTCGATGGACAGGCTACGTACATAGTTACACTAACTTCGCAACGCTAATGGTGATAATACCAGTCCCAGCTTATACATAATTAATCTAAATCGCGCTGCCAAAGGTTAAGGATCTACGTTAAACATTACAATTCACTGACTAAACGCAGACAGATGCACGCACCACGATGTAAAAGTGTGGATGAATACCACATAATGCAAGAACACCGTAATCCTAGTTAGAAAGCGCAAACTTGGAAGACCTAGGCGTAGATGTAAGGACACTATAACGGACATGAGGGTGTATAGAAAGGATTCGTCTGACATAGACCAGGGACCGGTGAGTTCCGGTTCCATAACGGCAGCGATTGTTTGCTTCTCAAGGACGACTCAGCTCCAAGGTGTCAATTATTAATAGACATGTTTTGGTTGCGAGTAAGAATGCTACTCGTCCATTAATGAAAGGCAGACGGGAAAGTTATTAGGATCATATGAATAACAATCAGATCAAGAATGGAATGCGGTACGTCCTTAGACACTGAAGCAACGCATTAACACAAGTTAAATTATGTAAAATGTTCCTAAAGCTGTAATAAACAGCAGAAGAACGAAACTGCGTGTCGACAACAGTGCTTCACTGAGCATGACAAAAGGTTGTAAACCAAATTTAGATCTGCGTAATATCTGACTAATATTTTGGGCTGTCTAATGTGCCGGTTTCTTTAAACAGTACGTTTTGAAAATTATCCCAGTTTCCGTCAGATGAGAAATACCCTCTGTTGATTGCCCAGGTCAGTGGTGCCCACACTTATTTACCAATGGACCACTTGTCCAATAAATTACGTGCTCGCGACCCTGAATTTGAAAGTAGCGCAAAATATGCTCCTACACATCTAGGCTATTTTCGTATTAAAAGGCACATCACGAATTGGGTAAATTGTGGTATTCTGGAAGATACCCGGAATGTTCGCCCCATCAAATTCGTACTCGGGAATAATGCAGATCGGCTGTTTTAAGAAGTGCAATGTAAATTACTTAGAAATGAAAGTAACAAACCACAGCCAAAACTGCAACACATTTAATTTACTAGAATAAATTTGCATTAAAAATTATATGAAAATTAAATTCGTGTGATACGGTTTTTTGTCTGCAATTTTTTCCTTAAAGTGAGCCTCAAATTCTGAAGAGCACTGATCACAGAGTCCGTTTCAAATGTTCATGTACTTCACGAACGCATTGGTTGTCACAATTATGCTTTGAATACACACGTTTAAAGTAATTTAATAAGTAAAAAAAGAAAAAATGTCTGGAGGGCGTCGGGGAATCGTCACTTGGTCACCTCTTTCGCACCGCAGACACCGGAACAGCCCTCATTTGTTAACAGCGTCGGGTTTCAGCCCGGACATCTGCAGTGTTCCTCAAGAGTCGATCCCTGCTTTACCAGACGCCGTATCCTTAGGCCACTCCACACGCAGAAGTCAGGAGAACGCGGGGGCTTAATTCAAGTTGTTCCTCATAGGCCCAGACGCGCAATAGAAATGCGGGGACGACCAGCGTTCCTAATGCAACAACTACCCACCTCCTTCTTTTGACTACGTTGATCTGCATATTTTATATATTTTTTAGACATCTCGACGTGGAAAATCGACTAATGAATTGGGAGTAATCCGATAAGCAAACTGCTCATCAAAGCATTACAAAATGTGAATTAACTATCTGAAATCTGTGTAATGAGTATCTCTATTCGTATGAACAAAGGCCCACTAAACGGTGTAGAGCCGAGTTAAAAATATGAACATGTGTTACCAGTAGAGAAACGTGTAATGAACAAGATTACGCACGTAAGTTCTTGTTAACTACAGGCGTCGACATATCCAAGCAATCGCCTACGAACACGATCAACGGCACGTAAGAAACCGCAGCATGCACCTCAAAATCAGAACA